GTTTTTGGGCCTTTAAATTCTGACTACGCTAGTCTTTTTGCTCTTCATCTATATTTGCATCCTTTTTGCCTGTTATATCTTCTCGTCAATGCTTCTTATCTAATGACTTAGAAGAAATGGTAGTCAGACTCTGCTATGGTGGTACAAGCTTTTTTAATACCAGATTCGTTTTTTGTTGCTTCTTGAACGTAGTGCTTGTCACGGCCATATCATTCTGTCGAGCTATCCGTTTGAACGGTCTGAACAAATTTACGGTGAGAATATTGCAGATATGGATCACCATCATACTATTCTCTCACAGTATATCGAAACGAGTTATCCGGCACCATAGAAGTTTATTCGCACTTTTTCCCTTGTGTAGATAAGCATACTTTTGTCGTAATTCTCGGAATTTAGCTGACCAGAGATGGAAGACCGACATAAATACTGCTTTTTTCTTAGTGGGGAGGAGGTCTTTGTGAAGAAAATTTTGGTCCATTTTTCTAGTTGCCTCTATCTCAAAAGTAAAGTACGAAGTGGCAGCCAAGTTAGATGTAGAAAATTTCACCCCCATGGTTGCTCTATTCTACATTATATCATGTTGCGGCTGTTTTAAGTTATTTTCTCTAGATTGTGCAGCATATTCAGGCGGAAATGACCTAATGGGAATACAAGCATTGCAAAAAGAATTCCAACGGCTTGGTCAAATCGCTGCACAGGGATGCAGTCCTACGTAAGTATTCTTCTGCTTCATAGTTCCGACGACTAGAACTTGTTCAGTTGTATGAGTTTTATAACGCAGTATCTTGTATATATTCCTTGTCATCTACAAAATTCATAATTACAGTGCGAGCCGATCACCTACGCATTTGTTCGACCAAAGAGCTGCTCTTTTTGGTTGCCCTCGAATCTCAATCACTGATGAACACAATCGTAGCCTCGCACCGGGTTCAAGTTCATTTGACCCAGTCAATCTTTTTGAACAAAAAGCAAGTTTTTTGAAGGCAAACTCGTTCATACTAGGTTAACATTTCTTTGAAGGTTAATGAAGTGGTATTTGGACAGCGACCAGCAACGGTGATTGGATTCGCATCGACTTCGAAATCTGGGACGTCTTCTCCAGAGCAAAATGTCAAGACCGAAGATAGGGACAACAACCTGGATGATCGAGTGAAGGTGAATTATGTATCTTCGTCAGTGGTACAAATATGAATGATGCGAACTTCTTGCGTGTTGCCCTATCGAATCTTTCCCTTCCGAAAAAGCTCATATTAAGTCATCATTTTTATGTGATTAGAATGGGGGGCATGGTCCTAATTGTCTGTGGCAAAACAGCTATCAAAATTTTTTAGACAGGTTGTAGATGCTCCTGTCCGTGCCCTTTTGTATTCAGTGCCAGAGCATGAATAGGCATAATTATGTGTCAAGCCCAAAAGCTGGATTGCTTGGTAACTAACTGCTATTCAGAAAAATTGGGTGTTTATAACAGTTTTCGGTCTATAGTTATAATGTTGTAGTTATTGTCACTGTTATAGCTGACTGTCCGATTCTTTTAATGAGAGAGTGTAAAATCAGATTTCTATCTAATGAAGCATGCTCCAGAATTCTTTAATGCATGTGAAGGCAATCCTTACTACCTTCCTTTTAGAGCTTTGTTTCGACACTTCCCTTAGTCGATGTGGTGCAGGAGTTGAAGAATTGTTTGAACGAAATGCAGATCCGATTCGAAGAGACAAATGAAGTAGTCTACATGGATCAAGGTTTGATCCCTACGCTTTTTGTTAATACTAGCTTCGAAAGCTAATTCAGAAATGCGTCGTTTATCTCTCTCCACTGGTGTTGAAATCGGTTGCGCAACTCTTCCACCGGAGCAGAAATCTCATGTCGAATTTGCAATCGTTGCTGGTGATTCTCCGACTAGCGAAATGCTCTGCGATGAGCTCATATCGAGGCTCAGGGTGCTAGACCCCACTGCATCATCTGAATGAAGACGTCCATCTTTTCTTCATTCAACAAGTCGGATAGA